CTCAAGGCCATCATTGTGGGCAGCCACAGGCAGTCGCCCCTTTTGTTTACACTTAAACATATGAATGGAGACACAGACAATTAGGCTAAGGAGATTCCAGGAAGAGACAGGAAGAACCTTATCTCACTGCTAAACTTCTCACAAGAGATGATGTAGATAATCAGTCACACCTCTGTTAAGAGGAAGAACCTTATCCGAACTCTTTAGTCTTTTGATATGTAAATCTTTTGTGCTCCTTCTTGTATACAACTGGTCATGTTAAATACTACTGGGTTTGTTGAATAAAGGAGCCTTGATCAGGACTTGTCTTGGCTCCATTCTTTGCATCCTTGTCCCCTCATTCCCACTTTCTGTTTCAGGAAACCCGGTTCTTTGTGCTGCAGGCCAGCACACATCATGCCAATGAACTTTGACAAATGGACATAACTCATTGTCCTTTGTCAAAATCCTTCTCTTATTTACATGTTATTATTATTTTTTTTAACTTTTATTTAATGAATATAAATTTCCAAAGTACGGCTTATGGATTACAATGGCTTCCCCCCCATATCGTCTCTCCCACCCGCATCCCTCCCCTTTCCCATTCCCTCTCCCCTTCCATTCACATGAGGATTCATTTCGATTCTCTTTATATACAGAAGATCAGTTTAGCATACATTAAGTAAAGATTTCAACAGTTTGCTCCCACACAAACATAAAGTGAAAAATAATAGATGATTTTTTAAATGATGATGAAATCAGATCAGACCTATTGTCATGTTTAATCCCAGTGAGAGTCAAGTTGGGAATTGATAATTTCTTCTTTTTTTTTTTACAGAAGATCAGTTTAGTATGCATTAAGTAAAGATTTCAACAATTTGCACCCCCATGGAAACACAAGCGAAATATACTGTTTGAGTACTCATTATAGCATTAATTCTCAATGTACAGCACATTAAGGACAGAGATCCTACATGAGGAGTAAGTGCACAGTGACTCCTGTTGTTGACTTTACAAATTGACACTCCTGTTTATGGCATCAGTAATCTCCCTATGCACCAGTCATGAGTTTCCAAGGCTATGGAAGCCTTTTGAGTTCACCGACTCTTATCTTGTTTAGACAAGGTCATATTCAAAGTAGAGGTTCTCTCCTCCCTTCAGAGAAAGGTACCTCCTTCTTCAAAGGAAGCACATAACAAGTCTAGTACCTGCTAATACTAACCGATAGAATAAATAAAGGGGAGAGTGATCCAACATGGGAAGCGAGATACTCAGCAGACTCATAGAATGGTGGATGTCCTAAACAGCACTCTGGCCTCAGAATCAGCCCTAAAGGCATTCCGATCTGGCTGAAAAGCCCATGAGAGATTTCAGGCATGGAAAGCCAAGACACTCTGGCAAAAAAAAAAAAAAAAAAAAAAAAAAAAAAAAAAAAAACACCCTAAATGAAAGATCTCTGTGAGTGAGATCCCAGTGGAAAGAACAGGTCTGCAAAGAAGGAGGTACCTTTACATGTTATTATTAATACCCATTCAGATTACATTTGGACAACTCCACTTAAAGGAGAATTGTTATGCCCAGTTCAGTTGTCCCCAAAGGCTACCAAGGAGCCGATACTGCTGTAAAGCACAGGATAGTTTTATTGCAGGTCTGGACCTGGACTCTCAATCAACACTGAAGCAGTGGGTCTGAATTGAGAGCCCCGACCCTTCAGTTAACAGGGTTTTTATAGGGTGTCAGAGACATTCTATACATCATGGTACCATTTAGCAAATCATCTCATCCCACGGGAAATTCAAAGGACATCTCTTAGAATTGATTAGTGCATCCAGTGGTGGGAACAGACCTACTAAAAGGTGGTTGGATGGCTTTGGGGTTGAATGCCTTTTGAATTGATTGGCCGAAGAATGGGGTCTGAGCTGATGGGGTGTACTTGTTGAACTGCAGGGTCTTGGGTAGCTATCAATCACCTTATCTGCCCTGAGAAGACACCAGGAACTCTAGGTATTTCTCTGTTATCTGTTAATCAGCTGTTGCTAGGAGAGTTTATTGCAAGGGGAGTTCATTTATTTACTTTTAGGAGCTTCTGGCTCAGAGTTCAGTGCCTGGTCAGGCCCAAGTTACAAGATGGAGGCCTAATTAAAAATAGTTATACCTTGATCCAGGCTCAGTTCTCACAGAATCTACTTGCTATGTCATTGTGTTCAATTTTTTTTTAATAAATCAAGCCCAGACTTTTGTTTATAAAAATCTATTTGGAGGAAGGATGATGGTATAAACCATTTACATTAGTTTTATCTTGACAAGTAAAGCATTATCCATAATGTAGATTTGTTACTTGTGCCCCCTACTTCTTTTTTCTTAAAGTGTATAAGTTTGTAATGTGGCAAAAAGAATATATGAATTATAAAAAATATACATAAAAATTTCCTTTTATCTTTGCTATAAAGAAACTATTTCTCCAAAGAAAAATCATGGCTGTCATAGACAAACTTATTCAATTAAAGACTGATAATAGGCCCACCTATATCTCTTCTGCATTCAATCATTTTTGTCAATTATGAGATATTAAACTTACTCATGGCATTCCCCATAATCCTGCAGGAAAGCCATTGCTGAGCAGGCCCATCATATGCTTAAAACCCTTCTTCAAAACAAAAGAAAAGGGGGAAACACCCCTGGGGAGATTAATCATAAAATAGCCATTCTTTTATTTACACTTAATCATTTAACTTATTTTTCAAAATTCAATGTCTGGACTATTTCTCTGTATCTGTATGTGCCTTTCAAGAAAATAAAAATTAAAACAAATAAATTCAAGTTTGTATGATATTTGTGTATTTGAGGCAATTTTATCTTGCTGCTCACTATGAGGCTTGAGAACAAATGGGAAAAAATTACTTCAGGTTGGAAATAAGCATATGTATTTTAGCATTTTTATTGAATTCTTACAGTGCCTATGTTTTATGGAACCATTAGTTTCAAGTGATAAAAACTTACATACCCGAAATCATGTCAACGTGTATCTAGCCATTAACTAGAAAGACTCATAGGTTATTGTGCACCCCGTATCTGCTAAAATATAGCTTTCTTTATTTTTTATGATCTTTGAAACCATTACTTGTCAATATCATCTACCATAATTGCTGGAATTTAGCCTCTCTTGATGGGTTACCTCAGCTAAATCGAGTTTCCCAGGAATCCTTCTGATTCTTGTCTTTCCTCCTTACAACACTGAGTTGGGACAGAGAACCCTAATACATTGCCACCTCAATGCCCACAGTGTCCCTCATGAGTATAGAGTTGTCCTTCAAACTGTCCTGGATAGTTTTCAGGATGCCCACAGTCTATCTCAGATAGGAAGTTGCACTGCTCTCCCAGCCAACTAAACTGTTATATTTGACTTTCTAACTTCCCACAAACACCTCAGAGCAAGTTTTACAATTATCAAGAACTTACTAAAGATTTGAGATAAGCAGGAACATAACACAGGCACATCCCTGCATATCCATCAAAGAAAAAAACCAAAGCTGCCTCATAAGCCTACATCAAGTTAGAAGACACCTCCATCTTATATTGTAATGATTCCATCAACTACACCAGGAAAACACCAGGCTTTGGAAACCTGCATATTTGACTGTAGTCCTCAGATAGGAAAACAGTTTCATGTTTGTTGTGTCTTAAGCACACTTACAAGGCCTACCCTGAAATTCTTATTCTCTGGATCATATTTTTTCAAAGATGGTGCTCCCCTTGGGCCTTCTTTAAGAGATTTAGACTGACCCCCTGAGACTCATGGACCCACTGGCTCCTTTCTGACCAGTGGCCACAATTAAGGAATAGATGCCTTTAACCCTGGGACACAACCTATATATGGTGCAGAAAAAAGGCAAGCTCCATCAGGCACAGAGTGAGACATCAGAATGGCCCTCCCCTCATGCAGAAGAGGCCTCAGCACTGCATAAACCACAACTACCTCACATCCAGCTCCATCCCTGCCAGTTACCCTGGTCACTCAATGGGTCAGTCAGCTCTACTCCTAATGTCACCAGGATGCGCACTGTGATGGCAGCCAGAAACAGGGTTCCAACCCTGTGGAGACCTGTCTTATCTCAAGGCAGGTGGTTTCTAAAAATGGTCTCACTACTTGGTGGAGATGCAGACAGACGACTCACTGTAGGGATCCCCAACCTGTCTATGACTAGGCAGCAGCTCACATCCTTCTCCTCCCTAGGCCCCACCTGCTTCCCTCCTTTGTAATGCTTCAATGAACAAGAAGACTCAGGTGAATGACCAGAGGCACTTGGAGTCTTGGGGCAGCAGGGCAGCCTGTCTGTCCTGAGGGATCCAGGGCCCTGTGGCCACAGGCATAGAACAAGGTTGGATTCTTCCTCCTTTGTGGAGGTATCCAGGTCTGTAACTGCTCATCTTTGGCTATGGTGTCTGTTCACCCTTTTGCCTACTACACCTTCAGGGCCCACATCTGCTAAAAGCTACGGGACAAAAATCTGTACATAAGCAATACTGGATAACTGAAGGGAACTACTCCTCACGAGCTCTTGTCAATTTCATCAAAGGAAGATTCAGGTCCACAGACAGGTGTATGACACCTGGAGTCTAGTTTCCAGAAAGGTGACTTCTTTAAAGTATAGGGACAGAGGGAGCATCAGACTTAGGGTCTTTGTCCAGCTTCCTTGACACACAGGAAGACTGCTCCTCACAACAGATTGGGTTGTGAGTATCCTCCAGCAGCCACATTTTCCATCATAAAGGGCCATCACCATCCCAATTATAGGTCATGAAGTCTCTGAGTCTGGTGCACCCACAGCTCTAAGATCACTGTTGACTACAATGGCTCCCCAGGGACTCATGTCCCTCCACAGAGTCCATATCAAAGGGAAATTTGCACCCATCCCACAGGGTCAGAAACAACTATATTCATATGCAGTATACAGTGGACTCCACTGAGGGTACAGCAAATATCACCTTCCTCATTAGCCAGGAGAATCAGGGCCACATACCTTGCAGGGACTGTCCCCAACTCAGCAGGAAATGAAGAAAGCAGGTTGCAGTCACCTGTGTCCTCCTGTGATGAATGAGCTTCCTAAATAAAAAATAAAAAAAAAAAAAAACCTCCAAGTCAGTAAGCCTCTAACTGCAGTTAGAACACAGAGAGAGGGGTGCTGGGCAACAGTGACATCATGGAACCAGCCCTGTCACAATGGTACACTCCACAGATACTAGTGGCCCAAAGTCAGCCTCCTCAGCCCACAGAATAACAAAAATCTCCAGGGATTGATCTTGGGGTCTCAGAAACAGGTGAAAAATAAGATCTGCGGTAGGTATTCCATGTGACCAATATACCAGTGCCTTCTATCACTTGCTATACAAGGTCCTAGGTTCCTGCAATCCTCTACCCTCCACCCATTCTCCTTCCCCCAATGCAATTATATTTTGTAACAACTTTTTAAGCCCTTTTAATTTGAATCAAAATTTGTGCAGTGAGTCCCCACACAAACCTACTACCCTTCCTAAGGTTCACATACTCTGCTTCCATTCCTTCAATAAGAACTGAGTAATACAATGGTAAAACCTCCTCCACATAAGAGTCCTTCACACCAGCCCTGCTGATCCAATCTGATGCCTTCTGCTCTAATACTGCCCCATCTCTCTCGTGCTGTCAACATTGGGCTCCAGGGAGTCCTCCTGGAATGGTGGAAAGGGGAGAGTGTAACTGAGCACAGCCTGCCTGGGACCCTGAGCTGTACAATCTATAGGAGGAACAGGGACCTAAATTTTCTTGATGCAGGAGAGGGGTAAAGGGGTGGATCACTCTTACTTTTCCTGACACTCATGCACCCAACACTGAGGCTGATGTTGAGAGTACCTAGGATATCTGCACACTGTGAGGACCCTGACTCAGAGTGGCAGACATCCCTGTCCAAAGAGCAGCCCCATCTCTCCAAATCCTACTCTCCTCCTGTTCTCTTCTGGCCCCTGCAGAGGCAGCAAGAGACTGGTCAGTTTTCTGTAGTTTGGCAAACTCTAGCTCCTGTTGTACTCCAGCTGTTTCTTGCTCTCCCCACCTGGACTGCATTCCCCTGTGTAGTTAATGGCTGTGCCACTGTGCATGTGGATAAAATAAGCCCATGAGTGTCTGTGGTGTGTATGTCTAGCACTCTAGCAGGGCCTTGCTGATTCATGCTCAATGTACAGAACTCATTGCCACTGTCACCTCTTGAATGAGACTTCCATCAGAGTTGCAGCAAGTGCTTCCCAGTTTTCCCAGCATACTCCAGGGGCCATCATGGGGAGGTACGTGGGAGCTGTCAGAGTCTGAAGCCCTATTAGGAAACACACCTGTTACTAGGAGGATCTAGGTAGCATGGTAGGAACAGAAAAATAAGTCACAAAATTCTACTCATATGTGAAATATAATAAAGCTGATCTCAGAAGTCGGGGTGTTTGGATAGTTACCAGAATCTGAAGAGACTATGGTAAGAGAGGATACGGAAATGTAAATGGTACAAGTGATAGTAAAATCCTACACTACACATTGGGGATGAAAGTTCTGTTGTTGCATTGCACAATAGAGTGACAATGCATAATGATAATGCTTATTTAATTTAAATAAATGTTAAATGTTTATTTAGATACTATGCTCCTAAATCTGTATTTATGAAATAAATGAAATTTGTTTACCATAAGAAATTTTAAAACAAATGAAAATTAACAGAAAGAACTTTGTGTATTTTCACATGAGAAATGATATGTTTGGGGACAATGCTATGGTGTAGCAGGTAAAGCCACTGCCTGCAGTGCCAGCATCCTATATGGGTGCTGGTTCAAGACCCAGCTGTCCCACTTCTGATCCAGCTCTCTGCTATTCCTTGGGAAAGCAATAGAAGATGGCCTAAGTCCTTGGACCCTGTATCCACATGGAAGATCCAGAAGAAGCTCCAGGCTTTTGGCTTTGGATTGGCCCAGCTCCGGCCATTATGGACAATTGGGGAGTGAACCAGCAGATGGAAAACTTCTCTCTCTCTCTACCTCTCTGTAAATATGCCTTTCAAATGAATAAACTTTTTTAAAAAAGAAATAATATGTTTGAGGAGATAGATTTGTTTACCCTGATTTGAATGTTATGCAATGTATGCATGTTTCTAAATAGTACATGGTGTCCCATAAATAGATACACAATTTTTATGTTTATTCATAGATATTTGTTTTTTGACAGAGTGGACAGTGAGAGAGAGAGAAAGGTCTTCCTTTTGCCATTGGTTCACCCTCCAATGGCCGCCGTGGCCGGTGCACTGCGGCCGACACATCGCACTGATCCAAAGCCAGGAGCCAGGTGCTTCTCCTGGTCTCCCATGTGGGTGCAGGGCCCAAGGACTTGGGCCATCCTCCACTCCACTCCCAGCCCATAGCAGAGGGCTGGCCTGGAAGACAGGAACCAGGACAGAATCCGGCACCCGACCGGAACTAGAACTTGGTGTGCCAGCACTGCAGGTGGAGGATTAGCCTATTGAGCCACAGCCCTGGCCGTTTAATCATAGATAATATACATTTTCATCACAGTTTAAAATTAAAAATAAATAATTTGAAAAAAACACAAGAAAACAACCCCATATTTGCACAACCAAATACATATAGAGATCACAGCAGAATATAAGTGAAATATAAAACAGATTACAATAGAAAAATAATTTGAAAATAAGGACACATTAATATCTGGAATTTAAATGATTTTTTCTCAAAAGATTTTTGGATGATAAGAGAATATTAGGAAAATCAAATAAACTGAATGTACTAGAAAACCCCAGCAAGGAAGGTGAGCATGCAAGATTCAATGAAATTTGTTTTAAGAACAAATTAAATGAAATAAAACTATTTACAAAAGCATTAAAAATATAAAATACTTGGTAACAAATAACAAATGTTATGTAATACTCCATGCTAGGAAAAACAAAATATTCCTGATAGTATATAAAGAAGATCCAAATGAAGTGGAAAGTTATAATACATGCATTGACTATAAAACTCAGTGTCAGTGTGGTCATTGTCATGCAGTGGGTTAAGTTGCCATTTGGGGTGCTAATGTCCCATATTAGTCTACTTCTGATCAAATCTCACCTCCACATCTGATATAACTCTCTACTACTATGTCTAGGGGACAGAAAGGATACACTGAGTGCTTGGGCCCCTGCCACCCATGTGGCAGACCTAGATAGATCATTGTGTTTTTGAGTTTTGTTTTGTTTTTGTCTTTGTTTTGTTTTTGGCTTCACATAGCTCTGGCTATTACCAGTATTTGGAGAGTAAAACTACAGATAGAAGATTCATTTCTATCTTTCCCTCTGTCACTTGACTTTCAGACAAATAAAGCTAAGAAAATTCAGTAATTCAAGACATGAATTTCCCCAAATTTATTATTTTAAAATATGAAGAAATGCCATCAATTTCAACAACTCTGTGTGTGTGTCCTCATGAAAAATCACCTTCTAATTGAAAAACGTACTTTAAAATGAAAAGGACATAAAATAGTAAAGCTAATTTTAAGAAAGATCAAATATTGTGATTTTCAACTACCTCATACCAAGAGTTAAAATGGGGGTATGACAGTTTGGCATGGTGCATAAAGCTGCTGCCTGTGATGCTGACATCCCATAAGGGTGCCAGTTCATGTTCTGGTTGCTCCACCTCCAATCCAGCTCTCTGCTAATGCACTTAGGATAGCTGTGGAATATGGCCCAAGTGCTTGAGCCTCTGCATCCACATGAGAGACCCAGAAGAACCTCCTGACCCCTGGCTTCAGCCTGGCCCAGCCCTGACTGTTGTGGCCATTTGGGGATCAAATCAGCATGTGGAAGATGTCTCTCTCTCTGTCTCTCTCTCTCTCTCTCTCTCCCCTTTGTGTTTGTGGAGGGTGTCTCCTTCTCTCTCTGTAACTCTGTTTTTCAAATATATGATTACTAGAGTCCAAAAACCGACCTGAACATTTCATTTGATGATTCAGCTAAAGCACTCATGTAATCAAAGTGTTAAAGGTTAAACTTTTCTCTAATGGTACTGCACTCAGATATATCTGTGGAATGAAGTTTACCTTGATCCCTGAATGGCAACATACAAATACACATTTAGCAAATTATAGACTTCCTGGCAAAAACAAAACAGTAAAACTTCAAAAACAAATTATAGATGAAAACCATGCTGATTATATCATTGGCCAGTATTTCTTAGATATCAAAAAAACACATGCATCACAACAGAAAATTGTACATTAAAATTTTAATATTTAATTCCTCAGAAAACACTACATCCTGTCATGTACTTAATAACAAAGCTTCAGTGAAAGACATACCACGTAAAACCCCAAGTCATCCCATAAGATTATATGACAAGTAAGCATAGATCTTGTCTTGTGTAGATATGTTTTGTGATGTTCTCAGTAACAAATTGCCTAATGATGCATTTCCCAAAATGTATTCTCATTGTAATACATTACATGGAAGCCATTTATTTGGGGAATAAATTCACCAAAATTTGAATTATGTATTTATTCATTTGATTTGAAAAGCAGAGAGATACACAGAGAGAAGATATAGAAAGAGAAATAGAGGGGCCAGAAGTGTGGTGTAGGGGGTAAAGCCACCCCCTGCAGTGCTGGCATCCCCTATGGGCTCCAGTTAAAGTCCTGGCTGCTCCATTTCCAATCCAGCTCTCTACTATGGTCTGGGAAAGCAGTGGAAGGGCCTTGGGCCCCTGCACTTGTGTGAGAGAGCCAGAAAAATCTCCTGGCTCTGGGCTTCAGATTGGCCCAGCTCCAGCTTTTGTGACCATTTGGGGAATGAACCAGCAGATGGGAGATTTCTCTGTCTCTGCCTCTGCCTCTGCTTCTCTGTAACTCTGCCTTCCAAAAAATAAACAAATCTTTTTTAAAAGTAGAGAAATGGAGAGGGAAATACAGTGACAGAAGATCTTCTCTATGCTGCTTCATTCCCCAAGGGATTGTAACAGCCTCACAGTGCCTAATCAAAAATCATAGCCCTGGACTCAATCCAAGCTCCTGTATGGATAGTAGGATCCAAAGTGCAGCCAAAAGTTGCAAGCAGGCATTTGGATATGAATGTAGGTATCCCAAGCAGCATCTTACCTGCTACACCAAATGCCCACAGCCAAGCCAAACTTTTTTAAATTGGACATATGAAGAACTCTAATAATTCAATAATAATAAAATAGTAAGTCCTAGGATACATGAAAAATACTTGAAAAGATGTTTTTAAAGGAGCTTTATGTATGCCTACTAGTGTCAAGAAAAGAAACTCAACATAAGTCCTATTAATGGAAGTTCAAATTAAAACACTTTCACATATCACTAAATACCAGCAGATTGACTAAATTTAAGAAGACTGAGGATACCAAACATTGGTGAGGATGTGGAATCACTGAAACTTTCATATATTGCTGTTCAGATATAAATGGAACAACAGTTTGGTGGCTTGACAAATTTACACAATTAAAACAAGTATCACGGCCGGCGCCCGGCTCACTAGGCTAATCCTCTGCCTGTGGCCGGCACACTGGGTTCTAGTCCCCGTCGGG